ATAAAAAAGTTGGAGCATTTTAAAAAACGTTTTCTTCTACTTCAAAAGAAAAGTTATAGCACAATATGATATTAGAATTTATGGCTAGCAATGGGATAAGGGAGCTAGGCAATCCAGTGATTGGTGAGTTTGCTGATCGATTTCAGCCAAAACATCTTCATTTAGAAATCAACATATATATATATATATATATATATATATATATATATATATATATATATATATATATATATATATATATTTATATATATATATATATTTATATATAAACATATATATTAGTTATCTTCACTTTTTTTCAGATGACTGTAAAATGGTTTATTGTATGTACATTTTGTTTGTTGTGTCAATTGATCAAAAATCAATACAATGTGAATTGTTTTTTGTTCTTTGACATAAAAATCTGAAATTTGATAGAAATATTTTGGTCTTTAACTTTCTGCAAAAGAAATTAATTTTTGTATGATTGGAGTTTACTACTCGTCAAAAGTAAGGAGCAATTTGTATTATCAGTGAGTAAATTTTTAAAGTTACCTTAAGTTTTTATGTTGTGTAGTAAACTTAAATACATTGTATTAATACAATAGAACATAAATTGTATTAATACAATGTATTCAAGTTTGATTATTTTGAATAATTATTTAACTATTATTGGTATTATCTGTTAATTTTTTTTCACTAGCTTCAAAATTCTGAAAATACTTTACTTTTATGATGTCGTAATGCTTTAGACATTTTTTAAAATGTTTTTTTTACGCTTTATATATATATATATATATATATATATATATATATATATATATATATATATATATATATATATATATATATATATATATATATATATATATATATATATATATATTATATATATATATATATATATATTTATATATTTATATATATATATGTATATATATATATATATATATATATATATATATATATATATATATATATATATATATATATATATATATATATATATATATATATATATAAGTTAAGTTAGTGTATTCTACAAATAGAGTGCTCAATGTTTTTAAAGAATAGAGCAATAATAAAATATAAAAAAAAATTTCTAAATTTCTTCTACAGTCTGTTTCACCTTTTGGAGTTTTATCAGGAAGAATAAAAAATATCTGAAAACTTATATTATAAAAAAAAAGAAAAAAAAAAAAAGAAAAGTTATTTCATAGGATTTTAAACATTTTTTAATAATGAGACTAAGTCTCATATTACTGAAAAAATTATTAACTTATCATTCAGATTCAGTTAATTTTATCAGTTATAAATATTTATTCTTGCAAGCCTAATAATTAATAAATCTTTTTTTTTTTAACGATGCAAAACTTGCAAGAGTAAATAATAACAAAACAAATTGTATTTGATTTACAGTAGTTTAATTTTATGTACAAGTAACTAGAAAAAATGAGATCAATACTTTCATTATGAGATAATTTTGTTTGTTTGATTTACAGAGTACTTTTAGAAGATTGAAAATGAGTAGTCTCTGGAACAAAAACATAAACAAAGCGCTATTGTTTGCTTCCAGACTATATATTTCTTGTAACTATGTTTTAAGTTATTTTTAGTCTTATATTTTTCGTCGGAATAAGTTTAATGAATTTATTTCTGCTTTGAAAAACCCAGTTAACAATAAGGATGGAGAAGTTGGGTGTGGCCTTAAATTTATTGCTAAAGGCATAGAAGAACATTATAGTGTAGTAAATAGTCGGTTCAAAAAGTTAAAAACTCGTTTAATTGGTGCTCAGGCTATATCACTTGCACGGTATAGCAATCGAATTGTAGATATTTTAGCTATGGAAAATGAAACTGGTCCATTAAAAGTAAGACATTTAGCACTCTCAAAACTTTGTGAAATGTTGCGAGATATTGGTGTGTTAATAAATACAGTTGATGTAAAGAGTGCAGTTACCCTGCTGATGTTTTTATAGTGTGTCAACAATATTTTGATTTGTTTTCCTTGTTTTTTGCACAAAACTGCAACGTTACCGTTTGGAAAATAGGTTATGCTATTCCTTTTTTTGTTGCAGAATTTTATAAAAAATTTGGCGTCGGTTATGGAATGATCTCAATGCAAGGTAAAGAGTCAAAGCATTCTGAAATCAAAATGCAGTTACAATTTGAAAGTAATAGATTTGAGTCGCATGATAATAAAAGTAAATGCTTCCAGTTAATGCGAACTCACTTTGTACGAAATTTTTATATTCCTTACCATTTTCCGTTCTTTCTACATACCACTCTCATTACATATCTCGAAAGCCAGTTCCAAGTAATAGTATGCGATGTTCCTGTTCTCGTACTCTCAATTCTGATGAGCTCTATCAAAATTGCATTGACTGTTTTCCTTTAATGGAATGTGTTTTAAAAAAAGAAATATTTGGATTAATCCTTGATATGGTAAAGTCTGTTAAGTGCCCATTATGTACGCAAGTGTTTCCTGATGATGTTCTTCTACAAAATCACAAGTGTATATCCCTAACACATAAATTTAATTGTAAAGATATTGCACCTCAGGATATGACAAACGAAAACTTAAAGTCTGAGTTATCTAAACGAAACTAATTTTCTGACGGAACTGGAACCATGTTAATACAACGTTTGGATAATTTACTGGGTTAACAGCATCGTTATAGGCGAGTTTTATATAGTAGTTCTTGGAAACAAAAAAACTTAAAAACGGCTATTTTAATAGCCACAAATTTATTTAAAAATATTTTAATGGTGCATGTAACAAAATCCAATGCTATGTAAGTAATAATAAAATAATACCTTTAAATTTTGTTGCTTGATTCATAAAATCTTTATTCATCACTGCATGACTTAGTTTATAATTTAAAAGATAAACATCCGACAGATGTTAAACTTTTGAAATCATTTCTAAAATTGCAGTTTAGCTTCTACTATCTTGACTTACATAGCATCACTACAAATGAAATATATCTAAAAATTTAAATTTTAGAAGCTGAATAAAAACTATTTAAAAAAAAAATTATATAACTGCCTATTTAGAAAAGGAAAGAATCCAAAAATAGAGGGCTAACCTATAGCAACAATACTTATACCTTACATTTACTTTAGTTTATTATGATTGTTACAAACACTGCCTCGCTTTGAAGAATCGCTTTTCTCTGTTGCAGATATTTATGAAAATGTCTATTTTTTACTTATTTATACAAATGTTTATATATACTTTTACAAAAAACATTACAAAATGCTACTATAATAATTATAGAAGCATAAAAATGACAAAAAGTTTTTATTTTATGAACTTATGTAAATTTTATTTTATGCAACTATTTAACCTTAACTATTTTGGAGCTATATATCAAACTTTATATAACAATGTAAAGATAATAAAATAAAAAATAAACTTGATTGATATTTGTTTGTAAATAAAACTAAAGGATGTCCAACTTTTTGTGTTAATTTAATGTCAAAGATTTTTCTCAGATGCTACTACTACTGGTTTATTAAAGATTAAACTGTTCCATCAATAGCAAAACCATTTGCACCATACCTTTGAATATAATAAAAAATGCTTACAACGTTTTTATTTAAACAATACTCAAACCTTAAGGGAGTTTTTGATGTTATTGGAACAATTGCTTTTCCAGTAAATTCATGTATTGTTTTGTTACTTACATCACTTTTCCTTTTTTTATAAACTCGCTTAAGTATATAGTCAATCCCTTGCAATCTCTATGGATCAAAAACCTTTTCTATAGTAGCCTTTTGATCAATTAAAATAACCAACTTTTTTTTAGCAGATTTTCTCTTCCATTTCACTATCTCCTTGTTTCTTCCGTATGCTGAACACAATGCAGCAATAGATTTAATGATCTGCCATGGAATATACATAGAAATAATTGGCATTAAACCCGTGGCTTGCCCTTCAGTCAGTTTCTTATGGAGAGCTTTACCTATCTCTTTTAAATAGCAATCTATCAATGGCCCAGCTAGACATAGTTGATTTTTAATATTTTTTTCAATTAACTGTTCCATATTGGAGTGTTCTTTATAGTCCTTAAAATAAATAAAAAATTGTTTACATAAAATCCAAGGTTGTTTATATTTATTTTACACACACACACAAATACACACACAGAAATGGAAATGCTTACATAGCTATCACAGAAAACATAATTACTGACATCGTTATGAAATAAAGAGAACATGCAAGGGATTTATAAAAGTTGATAGTTTAAAGATTTAAATCTGCAAAATGTATTGGCAGTTGGCTAATTTAAAAACCAAATGAAAGTTATATATAAACACTAAATTAC